GGACAAGAAGGATTCACCAATCTGACCACTAGAATTGTACTGAAAGAAAAGATCCTATGCTATAAAATTAGAAACCAAGGGAAGTATAACCAAAAGATACTTAAAGCTGAGGTACAATGACCTATCCAAGCTAACTGGTTTGGTAGTTAGGAAGAGATTGGTAATAAAACTGATCAAATATAGTATTGAAATCAGAACAAACCTTACAAGAGCATGAATACTGAAATTGTGCAGTTTAACAGTTAGCTCTGATTGCTAGTGGTAGTTTTAGTTGCTGCAGAAGGCATTTGAAAAACCTAATCTGGAAATATATGGAATATAGAAGGATTGGGTGGCATCTGCTATACCCACTTGTAGAGACCCATGGATAATCAGAGTAATCTAGTTTAGATAAAAAGGATAGCAGGAGCACTTCGGTATAAAGATACCTAGTTTAAAATAATTGGTGAAGTATGTAAATACTAAAAATGTAGACCTATATAGTCAATGACAAACATCAATAAAGCTTGGTCCCGAAGGATACTTTAAAATAAAAAAAAAAAATTTACATTTCCTAATAATAGCTATACTAATCTACCTACAAAGCAGTTTATCTACATTTTTATCAGATATAACTAGCCTCAGTAACTTCAAGCCTTTCTCCAAGCTTCTAACTTACTAGAGGTTATTCTTTGGTTATAAACTAATACTACACACTATATCAGAATTGACTTTTATTTTTATAAAATAAAGCATAGACATAATTACAAAAGACAAAAAAAAAAATAAAAAAATACCTCAATGTCAAATTCTGATCTATCTAAACAAATAAAACCAAACAAAACAAATAATAAAAAAAAAAAAAACAAAAGAAAAAAAAACAAGATAGTATCATTAAACCTGTGCCAGATTATAAAAATTATATAGTACTACAAATAAACTAGACTAAACTCTATGCTAATTATTTATGTTTATATCCAGGATATAAAAATATTAAAAACTATTCAGTTTTGAAGTAAAACTCCAAAGTTGAAACTTTTTATTGCTATTCTAACTAGATTGACAGATCTTTTGTAGTATGTTAGATATTATTATATTATTTGACACTATTTATTCCAAAGTAGATATTATACATATATATGTTTTTCCTTTTTTAACAGCTGTTACTGTATCAATCTTTTGTTGGGAATATGCTATTTTTTCTACTTTTTGGTAAAAATTTCATAAAATATAAAGAGTGAAGTTTAGTAAAAGGTTTCAGTTTGCAGGTATCCTTAAATTTCAGTAAAGAATGTGTTGAAAAATCACTTGTTGTTCTCCTTTAGACCAACTATTATCTAACTTCATCAACAAAAGTAATATTTCAATTAAAATTTTTTGTACAAAGGCACCACCTTCTTGCCAGTTATTTTATACAAGAATACTTTTAACTTGTATACCAAATATACAGAGGAGTCCAGAATAAAGTGCAAAAATTTTGACTTCTGTAAAACCATTATTGTATAATTGTCTCTTCTACTTTTCTCCAACAAGTTTCTGTTTTTATTAGCTGTAAGTTTGGTACAAATAATTGTTAAAGAGAGTTAAAAAATATTTATAAATATGGAGATATTATATCTAAAACTTTTTTTCTTACTAAGTTAAATCACTTTTGGACTCATAACAAAAATTGTAAAGCTCATTAAGACACATCTAATAGTTTTTGAAGATTTTTTAAGAACCACCAGGCTGATTTTAACGTTCTTACCACCAATTGATATGTCTTTCTGAGCTTTACAACTTTGTTATAAGCCCAAGAGTGATTTACTTAGTAAAAAAAAAGTTTTAAATGTAATATCTCTACATTTACTAATTGAAGAATTTATATATAATTTATATATAAATATTGTGTAACCTGCATCACATAGCTCTCCAGATGACTGGCGAATTATCTATTAAATATAAATTTAGTTCAAACTATTAATCTAAACAAATTAATTTGGCAAGTTGATATCTGAACCATCCCAAGTAACAATTGGAGCAAATTTAGCGATTTACATACATACAATATATACCTGATGCTATATGTTGATTTATATAATTACAGTATATATAATTTATATATATTTAATCAAGCTACAGTAGATAAAATTATTAATAAGTCCGGCCCGGCCCGGCCCGCATTTATAAAATTTAGATATCAATCGCGAGATAGAACCATATTTACAAATATACGCAACAATAGATAAATATATACTAACATATTATATATTTTAATATTTTAATTAGTAATTATTTTATCATAATTTGCAACAAGTTAAACACCGAGTTACGTAGCTAATCAAGATTGCTTTATATTATACAGTATATATGTATTTTGTACCCCAGATGCAAATTGGTTCTAGATATCAATCTTGCCTAAATAAATAAATTAATTAAGGTTAAATATTTAGATAAAAGTTGTTAAATAAGATTTGGGTTGCCACGATTGACATTTGGGGTACAAAACATATATCCAACTTAGCGTCAATTTCCATCATTTTTGTACCAATTTCGAATTAATAAACACAACTAAATCAGGTAACCATAAAATATCAGATGACTAATAATTATTAAGTCATGAAATTAAACATTTCTTAATTAGTCTAAATGTTAATGATCACAAGTTACAGTGACAAAATTGATAGAGAAGATATACTCAAATTTTGAAATTTTGTCACGTGTATATTTTATCTTTATCGTTATGCGCTCCGCTCCAAACAAATTTGGGCGCCATTGATAAACACCATCCCATGCCACGTTTATGATGTCACACTATTATGCACATAATCGGATATAAAATTAGTACTGATAGTGTACTGATCGTGATAATTATACTGTATACATGTTATAATTTTATTGGTGCATCGTTTTTATGATCAATTAATCAAAAGAATGGTGATTCAACTATGATCCAATCACAACGATAATGACAAGCGCAAATACAAGGAAGGAAATCTTGTCCCAAATAAGAGAAATCCATACTTTGAGATCAGTGAGAAAAAAAAAAATTCTTTGACAACTTGTGAAAATACAAAAACTCGCCAATCAATTTATAAAAGAATTAATAAAAGAATTAATAAAGGTTTTTTTTTCTTTTAAGATAAGTTATAATCTTACTCGTCATCAAGCGGTCTAAATATAAATTCGTAAAGATCATCTCATAAAACAAACCTAACAAACGCGATTGGTCTTTGAATGCAGATTATAGTGTAATTTTTATAACCACTATCCTTGAGTTTCCTTGAGTTTCCTTGAGTTAATTTTGCCATTACTCTCATGCATTTCCTATTGGCCACACTGTGATAATGTATATCACCTGAATACATTTGCGACCAATAGCAGAAAGGAGATGCCTCAAATTTGCCTCAAATTTGCCTCAAATCTGACTGCTGGTGTTTTGCGTTAAGATTTCCCTTACCTTTTATTGCGTACGTACGTATGCATACTTACAAAATGATAAATCCAAATAAGATAAAGTCTGCGTTCATTGTATATCAGTTTCATAGTTCGTTTGAGCTCGGGAAAAACGAATTATTTGTTGATCTAAAAGGCCATGTGTTTTCACAATACATATTCAGTACGACCTAGTTCACCATTATTTGAAACGTCAAAATTTGAATAATGCAATTATCATAAAACGAATCCTAAAACTGCATTACTTTTTTTATTTTTCCTTTTTTTCTTTTTTATTTCTTTTTTTGATTGGATTATGATTATTCAATTTTTTTTTAAATAACATGATAAAAAATACATTTATATAAATGTCCTTTACTGATGATGAGACCACGAATTTAAGCATCAAAATTTTTTTCTTCCAACATTTTCAAATACGTGTATCACGATTACCAATTCTATCTTGAACGATATTTATCGTAATAATTCTATCTTGAACGATATTTATCGTAATAATTCTATCTTGAACGATATTTATCGTAATAATTCTATTAAGCTTCACAAATTCATCATTTTTGCATATCCATATAATTATTGTTATGAAATAAAAAGAAAAAATATGGTTTCGAAATCAAAAATTTCAGAATTCTCCTCGATATTTCGACCAAATGCGCCGGACGATAAATCATTTCAGGCAGTTTTTCGTGCCAATAATTACTATTCGAAAAAAGATTATGAATCTGCTATAGGTTTGTTAAGCTTGTTAATTAATTCACCTGCCAAAACATATATAAAACAAGTAATAAAATTGAATTCTTTTTAACATATTAGAAGAATATTCAAAAGCCTTATCAATATTACAATCCAGTCCAGAAACAAAAAAAACATCAGATTTTGCTGCACTCGTGTTTTCTAATAGGAGCGCAAGTTTTTTTCAACGCAAAAAATGGAAGCACGCAGTAAAAGATGCAGAACAGGTTATTCGAATAAGGCCTGAATGGCCAAAGGTATTGATACTAATTTTATCTAAAAAAAAATAGCTTGCAAATCATTAATAGTGAGTTTGCTCGATTATTTATTTGCTAATTGTATTTTTTTAGGGCTATTTTCGAAAGGCCGAAGCTCTTGTGCAATTAGAGAAATACGAAGAGGCGTTAGATTGTTATCACGTCGCACAACAGAAGGTAAGATTCACCATAATAAATAATAATATGTAACATAATAATAACATAATAATAACGTAATAATATTGAAGTATTATTACTACGTACGCACGTACGTACGTAATTATTATTATTATTATTAATTTATTATATATTCTAGGATCCACGTAATACACAAATCCAACATCGAATAGAAAAAGCCTTAATTCTAAGAGATAATAAATCAATTGGTAAATTAGTCGCGCTTTTTTGTTATGTTTCATGTCATACTAAATTTATAAATTATTAACATGAAACTATGCTATACTATATATATATATATATATATATATATATATAATAGGCTTAACAATACACACATTGGTGCCAGGTCAAGATATATGCATAGCAAAGAACTCAATAACGAACAAAATACGATGTAAAATATTCGAATTTGCTGTGAAAATGAAAAATTTGATTTATGTCATTGTTGATAATAGTACAAAAGAGTGTATTGTCATTGACGCTGTAAGTATTAAAAAAACATTCATACACTAGTATTTTATAATGTATAACAATTTCCTTTTTTTTTTTATTATAGTGTTGGGACGTTGATGGTATCGTAAAATTTATCAAAAATAAACGTTTGAAACTTGTTGGCGCCATTGTAACCCACCACCACTTTGATCACGTTGGAGGTATTGTGCATATTACTAAATATATAGTCTCTATAAAAATATTTCTTTATTTATTTACATTCTTATTTATTAATAGGAAAACCACCCCCACCATTTAACCAACTCCCAATAAAAGTATCAGGCTTATGCGACTTATTAAAACGTTTTCCAAAAATAAATGCTTACATACATCCATCAGACATTCCACATGTGCTTAAAACAAATCCTGAATTATCGGACCTATTCACTTCAATCCCTCTTTCAAATTTACCAATTAGAAATCGTCAATCGCATTTATGTAATACAAATATCTTATCATTCATAATAAATTCCACTCTTAATTCCTCATCATTATCTAACTCTAATGCATCAAGAATAATTCCAACCCCACACAACTTCATACTTTCATTGGGTAACTTTACACTCTTGAGATTTCTTCATACACCAGGACACACCGAAGGTAGTCAATCCATATTGGTTAATGAAACAAGGTTATTTACCGGCGACACTTTGATGTGTGGATGTACCGGAAGGTTGGATCTACCTGGTGGTAATTTAAAACAAATGAAAAAAACTTTGAAAAAAAGGTTGGGTGATTTGGATGACAAGATCGTAGTGTTTCCCGGTCATGATTACGGTGGTGATTGGACTACTATTGGGATTGAGAAAAGAAAAGGTGTTATTGGGAAGGCTAAAAGAAAATAATAGAATCGATAAAAGCGATAGAAATAGATAGTGTTATACTAAATGTTAAAGACTCTCTTTATATACATATATATAAGACATACATGAGATATAAAAATATTTACAAATAATAGATTTTAAGTATAATTATACTATATAGTAAACTAGTAAAAACAATGTAAGATTTGTGCATTTTTACGAATTATAAAATTAAGTATTGAAAAAAAAAATAAAAAAAAACAATCACTTATTTAGTTCATATAATTATTTCAAAAGCTAATTAACTACATATGCAGTATGTAATACTCTAAGTAAAATTCATACCGGGGATATTGATAAAAAATTAATAACCACCAGTGTAAATATTTAATTTTAAATATTACCCATTTTTTCAAATTCTATATAATATTAGAACATTGAATTTTGCCATAACGATGTATCAACCGGGTAAAATTATTTTTTTTAGATATGACATGGTTCTAATGCGGGTGTAAAATTCCCTTTTGATACTTCTGCATCTACTTTTTTGATACATATAAGCATAGACATAAGCATACCCTAAAATTTCTATATTTTTTATTGTCTTTTACTATACTAACGTGCAATCTTATCGGTTAGGGTATGTTATGTATCAAAAAGTGCAGATGTATCAAAAATGAATGTTTTGCAAAACGGACACGTACCAGGACCGATACGTATTACTGCACCGTTTTTCAATTGCCTTTTTTGGAAGCCGTGTCCAGATATGTTTTTGATTATTTGATAAAAAGTAGTGTAAGGGTTAGTTTGGGTTAAGGTTAGGGTATACTTGTTGGCAAATTCCAAACTATTATAGTTTGGGTTTGAGCACGCCCAAATCCCAAACTCCGGCCAAACCTATATCTTTATTAATCAGATATATATTTATAGCTAGAACTAAATTATTTTACAAAATTGTTATTTTATATTTATTATTTTATATATTTAATAATAATATTATTATTAATGGGTGTGGCGACTTAGTGAAGTTGGTAAGTTGTCACACCTCCAAGTAGCAGGACAAGAGTTCAAATTCCACTGGTGACGAAATTCAAATTTATAGAATGACTGTGTGTAATCTGATGGATCATTGAATTTGTAGCTTTGGTTATATCAGCTTGTACTGGAAGAACATAGAACTATAGTGTGATGCAAGAGTTACATGAAACCTGAGTGAAATATTTGTGTAAATCTAAGACTGGGCACACAGAATCCCACTTGGCAAGTTTCAAATAAAGAGGTAGCACAGATCTTTGATGGTATTATATAAAGAACAATCATTAGCAATTGGATATCAGCAGTAAACTGGATGAAGACCAGGTGTTTGACAAGACATTAATACCAACCAGGTCACATGTATACAGAGGTGGCTCTGTATAAATAAGGAAAAAGAATTCAATTAAAATATCAAGAGGACATCTACTGGTCTCTCCTTGAGCTATTTGAATTGAAAATTTAGAGCACTGTTGGTGAAGAAAAGTCAGTGTTAGACTGTAAAGTATGTGCTGGGGTTTGGGTGAACTTTGCAAAAGCAAAGAATAAGTAATGGTAGTGGAGGTAAAACGCCATAAGTATATTAGATTTTTATATAGTAAATAAAAAAATGTATCTGATAAATCTTAGTTAATTTTTATCAAATTTAAATGATAAATAGTTTAAATCAGTTTGCTTATATTAGTGAAGTTTTAGGATATATATTGCTTTAAAAAAAATAAACTTCATATATAATCAAAGTTATAGGATCACTATATATTTTCTCAAGATTACATATAAATTGCTAATTCTAATTGGTCAAATCATATGATGTTTATATATAAATCATATGATATTATATAAAATTAGTTACAC